CGAGAAAGAGACGAAAATTAAAACAAAGAGCGATGGAGGTGGAGAAGGAAAGGGCAAGAAGGAAAGAAATAGGAAAGCCCTGGAACCATTGCCTATTGGAAGCTTGGAGAAGCGAACAGGAGCTTGAAAACAAACAGGGTTGATCGGAAATAACTGGGGGCAGGTGGGGGCCCTGCAACTGAATAGGGAAAAAAATTAGTTATAGTGCTGTGGTTCAATTCCCAAATCTCTTTCAACCAACCATCCCTTTTCTTACCTCCTCCGCACTGCACATCTGTCACGAGTGACCTTCACTAGCTTTGGCTTCACTTATGAGTCCGAGATTCACATCTGATTCATGTATAAAGCGTTTTTTTTTTGTTTAAAGTTCTCCGGTCCTGCAACGACCAAGAATGGGGACTTCATCCCCCGGCAGCTGAATCGGCCAACTGAAATTTTGACTTCCCAGCCGATGCATCTCCTGACACTTAATCAGGCATTTAATGCCTACAAACTCCTTCAATTGCACACTCCTTCCCAGGCACCTGAAACATCCAGCTTCCTTTAGGGATTACACAGGGTTCCTTTACGGCAGGGGTCTCCAACCTTGGCCACTTTAAAACTTGTGGACTTCAACTCCCAGAATTCCTCAGCCAGCCAGCCGTGTCTGTTTCTTTTTCTCCTTTCCCTTAAAGTGGCGAGATTGCAAAAGAAGGGATTACAAGAGAGTAAGCTATGCTGCCTGAAGAATTCTGGGAGTTGAAGTCCACAAGTCTTAAAGGTGGCCAACATTGGAGACCCCTGCTCTAAGGGCACAACAGTGCTGCCCCAATCCTATTCAAACACCGGAGCGCACGCTTTTCCACTCGCAACACAAGAAGTGGCTTTAACTGGGATTGTCCACAAGCATGGAAACCGTATGGAAAAAAAAAAAGACAGAGGATCTATCTATTTGAAAAGGGTCTCAGTTTGAGAGATCCAGCCTTCAATTCACGCCAACTGGCAGAGGCTCAGTGTTCGTTTGTTCTGCCTGCTGCACCATCTCCAGGGTGAAAAAACTCCAAATTTTATTCAGGTTTGTCTTTTCCACGTGGGCAGAATTATGCTCCAGGCAGATTCAAGGTGTTGTAGCTGCTTTTTCAACCGGATCCAAACTGTGCCTGGTTCACAGAATAATTCTTCCCAATTGCCCTCTCCAAGTAAGTGCTAAAGTGGTTTGCAATCTCACATTTTATAAAATCTCATTAGGAAAACTAGGAAAGTGAACAGGAGGAAGAAAGCAAAAAAGCTGGATTGGGTCAGCTGCTTGGGGGGAAAAATGAAGCTGCTCTTTCAAGCACCCAGAAGGGCGTCTAGTTGTGCCCCATTCTTCTTCACTTAACAGGCATCACCGATACATTTATTGCTCAGGCTTCAGCTCCTTCGTACTACTAAACGGGGGCGGGGAAGAGGACATTTGAGGGATGATATTAAAGTCGTACCAGGCTCTCTCCAATTCAGGCATCCGACTTGCTGATTTAGGATCGAATTGTGCTGAATTTCTCGCACGTCTTGGGACCCATGAATACATATTTTTTTTAAAAAAAAATTCCTGTAAGAAACATCTCAATGGGAAGCGATGATGGAAAAGAACAAAAGAAGCAAAAGAATAAGAGGATTCAGGACTGGCTAAGGACCGTCATCACGGGGATCCTTCCGGAGCTGGTCTTGTCTGCGGGATTGTTCAGAGCAGAAGTGCAAAACAAAAACAAAACAAAAAAACAACAAACAAGGTTTTTTTCCTCCATGTTAAACCTACCAGGAACCTCACATTTCTATAGTGGTGGAGGTTAAAAGTCCTTCTTTTTTTTCTCCCCCGCCCAGATCTCCCCGAGGATGATATTTAAATAGGAAGCCGAGGGGCTCCTGGAGTTTTCACCCCGTTCCCTCCGCCCCAGAAAAAAAACTCCCACTTTACAAATTGCAAAAGTCCGATGGGGAAAAAAAAAACAAACAAGTGGAGAAACGTAAAGGCAAAGGATTCCCATCAGGAATTCGGGGGTTCGGCGGTCGCTCTTCGAACACAAAGACAGTCTTGTGCTTGGAGAGGCGGCACCCGCACTCGCCTCCTTCCGCCAGCCCGGGAAGAAGTTCTCGGGGCTCCTTAGGCAGCGCCCAGGTGGTGCTGTTGTTTTGGGGGGGCCCATTCCAGGAGGGCCTGCACAGTCTCTGCCACCTGCGTCAACCCCTTCTCTTCTAAAATATGCAGAGGCAAACACAGTCGCTCCTACAAGGGGAAAAGACACAACAGACGCACAAAAGGGAGAAAAAAAAAAAAAGGATGACGATGAAAAATGGATAGGTAAAAGGGAAGCGAAATTAAAATTTGGACAGGGTGAGCGTGGACGAAGGATGGGATTGTGGCTGTGGGGTGTGGAATGCAAGACGTCCCGAAGGTGGCTTTTCCAAAAAAGCAACTGGATTTTCTTGGTTATTGACTTATTCAGCGAATGGCGTTATCATACGTGGACTAGCAAGATAGATGGTTAACATGTTGTCATCTTGATGAATAGGACGCCATGAGATATAAACGTTAAGAAAGATCTACCTTCAAATATACAAATGTCTAGGCCAGAGTGCCCCAAACTTTCCGGATTGGCGGCCCAGAGCGGGGGGCACGGGGGAAAAAGGGGGTGATTTTTGTGGGAGGGTCAGATGCAGGCGTGCGTGTGCCTGCAATGTTTGCGGTGGTGCTTACATGCATGGGGCCACCCGCAACGAGGTTTGCGCAGATGCGTGCACCCCAGCTGGTTAACTCATATGGTTCGGTGGCAATTGGGCCACGGCCCAGTAGTGGGCTATGGCCCCACAGGTTGGGGACCTCTGTTCTAGGCCAGGGGTCTCCTACCTTGGCCACTTTTAAGACTTGTGGACTTCAACTCCCAGAGTCCACAAGTCTTAAAGTGGCCAAGGTTGGAGACCCCTGGCCTAGGCCATTAAGTGCAGCATCATTTATATGGACAAAAAAATCTGATACTGGACCGGTATTTGACCTCAGCTTACAGCCGGTCACTATTTGATGTACAGTTTGTTCAGCTGAAGAACTGAAGAAGCTCCTTGGATGAGAAGAAGCGAAACCTCTTCAAGGAAAAACCAAGGAAGTCCAGTTGCCTCTTGAAAAAAGCACTTTTGGGACAACCATGACTTGGATGACTTGAGAATCTCCCTAGACTCTTCCTTGTCCTCCTGGGATTCAAAAGGGGGAAGGGGCTTCCCTCTGAATCCTTGCAGAGGAGCCGGCTGGGGAGAGCAGCCCACCTTCTTTTGAGACCCAGGGATCCTGGGACCACCGGGTTCTGCCCCTCCCTCAGTCACAGAAGCGTCCTGGGAGACTTTGGGGCCAGCAATGCTCTTCTCTTAGCCCAACCTACCTCACAGGGTTGTGGTGGGGAAAATGGAAGGACCGTGACGGATATTGTCTTGAGCTCCCAACATGTGATGGGATGTACAGGCAGTCCTTGACTTACAGCCATTCGTTTAGAGACCGTTCAAAGTTACGACGGCACTGAAAATAGTGACTGATGACCGTTTTCACACTTATGTCCACTACAGCATCCCCCACATAATCAATTGACTTGTATTTATGACGGCCATAAGTGCAGCTAATGTGGCTAAGTGTCCAAAGTGGTGGGGAGGACCGTCAAAACTTAGGAACTGGGTCGTAACTCCCATTTTCAGGTACGTCGCAACTTCTAACAATCGCTAAGCAACCGGTTGTAAGTTGAGGACTATCTGTGATATCCACACTGAGTTGCCTCTCACCTGTCTGGAACGCACCCCTCCCTCCTGGGGAATCCATCTCAATACAGGTGGTCCTCGACCTACGGCCACAATTGAGCCAAAAATTTCTCTTGCTAAGCCAGACAGTTGTTAAGTGAATTATGCCCCATTTTACCACCTTTCTTGCCACGGTTGTTAAGTGAATCACTGCAGATTGTTAATAACTCGGTTGTTCAGTGAATCCGGCTTCCCCATTTGACTTTGCTTGTCACATGGTCTCAATCAGGGGATTACGTGACCCCGGGAACACTGCAACCGTCATAAATACGAGTCCGTCGCCAAGTGCCTGAATTTTGATCACGTGACGCATCAGGACGCTACAACGGCCTTTAAGTGTGAAAGACGGCCATAAGTCCCTTTTTTTTCCCAGTGCCGTCGTAACTTTGAACGGTCACAAAATGAACCATAGGTCGGGGACTACCTATACACCCCGTCACACAACACAAGTCATAGTATCAAGGAAATAAACAAACCAGTGAATATGCTAACCAACATCGAATCACCCTCCTAATTGAAATATTTTGATTTTGGGGTTTTTTTTTATCTTTTAAATCAGAGGAATTTTTCTCTGGCCTTCCTTGCACGTGGCGGGGTGTGCAAGCAGGGTTCTTGAGTGCAAGCCAGACTACAGTCTCCCGCAAAGGTTGCTTCATGACCCGAGACCCCGTTGTCCTCTTCGGACTCCGCTGGACTAAGTGAACAAGGACCATCCCAGCCGCATTTGGAGGTGACGTTTATTGAACCAACGAAGCCCAAAGAAAAACAGAGCCCGCACCAGCCTGGCGACAAGAGGTGTACAAAGAGAACGTGCAAAACAAGAGTGTGTTACAAGCATCGAAGAAGGAAAAATAAAAATAAAGCCAAACTCTTAGCAGCAGTGGATTTTATAGGGAGAATCCAGTACGAAGAAAACAAGCCAGAGAGAAGCATTTCTCATGGGTGGGATTCATCCACGAGGTGTGCAAAAGTGACATTTTTTGTGTGTTTTTGCTTGGCGGATAAACGAAATCTCCTCGCTCTGCACGGTTGGAAGATTTGCACAGGGGCTCACTTCTTATCAACCGTCTGTGCAAACATCCCCCATCTAGAAATGTTGGGCGTGCCAGACAGTGCTTGGCCTAGCTCAGTGGGTCTCTCAACCTCTGGTCCACGGATTCCTGGGGGGCTGTGACGTCATCACAGGGGGTTGGCCAAAGCTTGAAAAAAAAAGGTTATGATTTAAACCTTGAGTTAAGTCTCGGGGTGGGGGGGAGAGGCCGTGGCCACAAAAGGTATTTAAAGGTGGGTCCGTGGTGAAGAAAAGGTTGGGAACCATTAGCTTAGTAGCAATCCTGGAAAACTGAACATGCAATTTGAATCTTTGCTGAGCCTAAACAAACTGAGACCCCCTTCAGAGGCCCATGGTCTCTGGGCCTCCTTCCGCTCCTTCCCACCATTAGCCAGGCTAGATACAGATTAACCGAGTTGGAAGGGACCCTGTAGGACATCTAGTCCAACCCCCACCCGGCTCAAGCAGACCCTACACCATTTCTGAGAGGACCCTGTGGTAAACCGTAAAAGGGGTTTGGTTCTTAGCTTAAGGCAGGGTATCCAAGCTTGAATAAGACCTGTGGACTTCAACTCCCAGAATTCCTCAGCCAGCTATGCTGGACAGGACCTCCGAATGCCTTTGAGCCTTGTATTTCATTTTTCCCAGGCAAAAGCTGGGAAGATTCCTGTATTATAGGCAGAGAACAATAAAGTAGCTAGTTTGAACTCTACATGGGTGGGGGTCTGGTCGGTCGTGCCTGACATGTATTATTGTTTTTAATCTTGTTGTAAGATGCCTAGAGTTGCCTGACAGCCAGATGGGCAGCATTCTAACTAACTAGCTAGCTAACTAACTACTGTATTTTTTGGAGTATAAGACGCACCTTAGTTTTTGGGGAGGAAAATAAGCAAAAAGCTGATTGGTGGGTGGATCGGCCTCCCGGAATACCCCCAATCAGCTGTTTCCAGAGGTGAATTTTAGCAACAGGTTCCTTGGTTGTGAGCTCTGTGCCTTGCTTTTTTTTCAGCCTCTGAAACTTTTAAACCTCAGTTTCAGAAAAAACTTCTTTTCCTGCCTCTGAAAGTCTCCAAAACAGCTTCAGAAAAATAGCCTCTGAAGCTCTGTTTGGGGGCTTCTTTTCTGAAGCTTCGTTTCTGATGCTTTTTTCAGCCTCTGAAACCTCAGTTTGAGAAGCTGGGCAGGGCTATATTCGGAGAAAGACGCACCCAGATTTTTACCTTCTTTTTTGGGGGGAAAAGGTGTGTCTTATACTCCAAAAAATACACACACTAACTAACTAACTAACTAACCTTAATTAACTAAAGGTAGTCCTCAACTTACGAACACAATCGAACCCAACATTTCTGTTGCTAATTGAGACATTTCTTAAGTGAGTTTTGCCCTGTTTTACGACCTTTCTTGCTACATTTGTTAAGTGAATCACGGCAGTTGTTAAATTAGAACACAGCTGTTAAGTGAATCTGACTCCCCCATGGCCTTTGCTCGTCAGAAGGTCGTAAAAAGGGGATCATGTGACCTCAGGACAATGCAACCGTCATAAATGTGAACCAGTTGCCAAGTATCTGAATTTTGATCCTGTGACTGCGGGGATGCTGCAATGGTCTTAAGTGTGAAAAAGGATCATAAGCCACTTTTTTTCAGTGTTGTTGTAACTTTGAATAGTCACTAAATGAACTGTTGTTAAGTTGAGGACTACCTGCAACTAACTAGCTAGCTAGCTAACTAACTAGCCCATTGCCCTATTTTTTTCTTAGCTGGCTGGGCAATGCAGATTGGTTCTTTCTACACCCTTATCCACTACCCTTGCGTAATCTAGAGTTTGGGGTAGCACAGATCCAATCATGGAGGTGATTTCTAAGTACCCAGGCCTGACCTCAGGAGGCAGCTATCTTCCACAGATTACTCTTGTGCAATTTCCAAATTGCAGGGCAGGCACCAAGCTGAGGAAGCGAAGTCAGCCCTCACTGAGCTATGTGACTTCAGAAAAAAAAAAAACCAACAAATCCTAAATCCGGATTGAAAACTAATGCAACTGAATGAGCCAATGGGAGAAAACACAGAGCAGAGCAACAGGCCTGGTTCAGCCAGCTCCAGATAAGCCAAGATCGCCTGCTTCAGCTTACAAGCGCTAGCAAGAATAAATCGTTACGGAGCTAAGCATCCAACTCGGAAAAGAAATATATCATATGCAAGAGATATGCAGGAAAAAAAAAAAAGTCTTATCAGCTGCACAACCATGCGGGGAATCCTTAAAAGCTTCCCATTGACGCAGCAGTGGCCGTCAAACATCCCAAATAATTAAATGTCTATTAATAATGCAATTCAGGAATTACGCTAGGGAGGTTAATGTAGAATAGGTTTGCACTGAATTCCCTTGCAACTGTTTGTAACGGGCGGGTTTCAAGTCCTTGGTGCTGCTCTGAGCTCGATTGTTCTCATGCAGTACCCAGGTAGGTAACACCATCGTGCTAGAAGGGAGTGGACCTTGCTCCCTTCTAACACTGATGCAGTTACCTAGTTGGGTCAAGAAATGTCTTCAATGGTGTCAAACAACGTCAATGGAACAGCCTGGTGGTAAGAGGCCAACCACCCTAGATTTCAGGAGCTAGAAGGGAGAGGGGTTTGCTGTCTGTAAGCAAGCTGCTGGTACATAAACAGAGAGCAAAGCCCACTTCCTCCTACCACTGATGATATCCCCTAGTTGGGTAATGAAATGTCTTCAAGAAAAGCATCAAACTCGGAGAGCACCAAGGACCCCATAGTAGTCCTCTTCCTCCTCCTCCTTTCTGCACTGATGATATTCCTCAGCTGGGTCGTGAAACATCTGCAAGGAAATAACTCAGCTCAGAGACCACCAACAGTTCAAGCCTGAGCTACAAATATCCTGTTTTATCAGTACGATCCTGTTTGCAGGTTCAAGTGGGACCCGATGGTCAGTTTGCTGTAAACGTGGACATCTCTGCAAGAGGAGAAACGGAGCAGACTCGCTGCTCCTGCTTGGCTGAGCTTCTATCTGCCAGCGAAAGAGAGTGGATGAACAGAGAGGCCAGCCCTGAGAGGGTCTCCTGCGATTGAAGCCCACCGTGGGAGGACAATCCAGGCAGGGCTGTCCTTTTGGCTGAGCAAAAGACAATTACCGGAGCCTCCAGATCCCTGCCTAGAGAGAGCAACAGGATTCCCTGAGAAAGTCTAAAGCACCACAGGGCAATAAAAGGCTGAGTCGGGGTCCTGAACTGGGATGTTTCCTTGCAGACATTTCATTACCCAACTAGGGAACATCATCAGTGTTAGAAGAGGGAGGGCTTTGTTCTCTGTATCTATACAGCCCTGATGAGGTTTTTTATTTTATTTTATTTATTTATTAAATTTCTATACCGCCCTTCTCCCGAAGGACTCAGGGCGGTGAACAGCCACAAGATAAAACACATAAATACAAAAATTTAAAATAAAATAAAAACGAATTAGATAATTTGGCTGAACAAATTTAAAATACCCCATAATTTAAAAACAAATTAAAATTTACATTTAAAAAGGGGAGAAGATTTAGGTTGGCTAGTTTGGGTAATGAAATCATCATCATCTTCTTTTAACAACCCCATAATTCCTTGCAGGGTGGAATCTGGGCAACTGAATTGAGCTAGCAGAGTGTTTACTGGCCAAATGCCCTTCCTGTCGCCGATGCGGAGTTTTGTTCAGCAGATCTATTCTCATTGTGCCCAGAGAGAGAGAATCTGCCTCTACCTGGGATTGAACTCACAGCCTCCTGATTGTGAGGCAAGAGCGCCACCTCTAGGCCACCGCACCACTCCGGTTTGGGTAATGAAAGGTCTGCAAGGAAACAACCAAGCTCAGAGAGCACCAAGGACCCCCTCATTTCAACCCTGAGCTACGAATATATTCTCCTTTATGAGGCTGAGAAGGCTCAGCCTGGTGTTAACCTGAGCATCAGAGGCCGAGTGTGGAGAGGAGAAATTTTTCGGCAAGGCTGCCAAAATATGGAGAATTTCTCCAAGCAGAGGCCGGTGTTAAGGCCAGGGTGAGTGAGGGCTTGCTCTTGTCAAAAAGCCCTTGCAAGCAGGGGTCTCCAACCGTGGCAACTTTAAGCCTGGCGGACTTCAACTCCCAGAATTCCCCAGTGAGCCGTATCGGTTTCTTTTTCTCTTAAACCTCTTACAGTGGAGAGATTGCAGAGGAAGGGATTACAAGAGAGTAAGCTTTGATGGCTGGGGAATTCTGGGAGTTGGAAATCCCTGCTTTAAAGCAGCCTTCGTCCCACTGGACCCCCGCAGTTGTCACCCCTCCCCGTTTGGGGGGGGGGGGAACAGAGGCTTAGGTTTGGGATGCCTTCAAGTCAAGCAGGGTTTCCATTCTGGGCAAGCCTGGAAGCCGATAGAGCTGAGCAGACTGAAGCAACGAAAAGGGGGGAAATTCAAGCAGTCCTCAGCTTACGACCACAACTGCGCTCAAAATTTCCATCGCTAAGCAAGACAGTTCAGGCATTTGGCCAGTGGGGGACAGAATTTGGAAACCTGGTTGTAAGTAGGCCCAAGATAGGCCTGCCGTAACTTCTAACAGTCGCTAAGCGACAAGTCGTAAGCCAAGGACCACCTGTACACTTGACATACAGGTAGTCCTCGACGTACAACCACAATAGAGCCCCAAATTTTTGTTGCTAAGCGAGACATTGGTTAAGTGAATTGTGGCCCACTTTATGACCTTTTTTTGCCACAGTTATTAAGCAAATGACCAGTTGATAAGTTAGTAACACGCTTGTTAAGTGAACCTGGTTTCCCCATTGACGTTGCTTGTCAGAAGGTCCCAAAAGGGGATCACGTGATCCCGGGATACTGCAACCGTCATAAATGCGAGTCGGTTGCCAAGCGTCCGAATTTTGATCACGTGACCATGGGGGATGCTGCAATGGTCGTAAGTGTGGAAAAAAAAAAACGGTCCCAAGTCACTTTTTTCCAGTGCCGTTGTAACTTCAAACGGTCACTAAAATGAACCGTTGCAAGTCGAGGACTACCTGCATTGGTTTTGATCTCCATCCGAACAGCTCAAGAAATATAAAAATCACATGTTTTTCAAACTTGGCCACTTCAAGAATTCCCAGAATTCCCCCAGCCAGCGATTGCCAAGATGAAAAAGACAGATATAAACAGATCATAGATAGTAGAAATGCTATTTTCGATGGGATGCCGCTGGAATATTTTTTGTGGGAAACCACACAGGAAAATCCTCCAGCTTTGAAATAGAACACGGGGTGCCCTGCAGCCTCCTGGGCTGGTAGTCCTCGACTTATGACCACAATAAGAGCCCAGAATTACGGTCGTTAAGTTGTTGCCGTCATGAAGGAAGGCACCCATACAATCCGGGCACTCTCCTTGCTGCAGTTGTTATGCAGAGCCTCCGGGGTGGGACAAGTCCCGGGGTTGCCGAACAAATGGTCGTAAACTGAGGACCGGCTGCATTTCTTCGAGATACCTGTTAGGTAAATTTAAAGGGCTGTCTTGGACTGACCAAGATGCTGGCATAGCTGTGCAAAGGTAGCCAGGATTTCAGGGCGGAGACCAGGGCTTCTCTCCCCGGAGGCAACGCTCAAGAGCTGGCCGGGAGTTTTCACAGGTTGTGCTCTTTTGGAGAAATATTTTCCTACCTGAGTAATTAGCCAAGTGTGGGGGGAAAAGGAAGAGGCCTCTGTAAATTGTGTGGGGTTTGTTTGCTTGTTTGTTTGTTTTAAAAAAAGCCCCACTTTGAGGAGTTCCCTCTTCTAACATTGTGCTCAAGTCCCCGTAGAGACCCCTTGCGCCAGCTCTAAAAATCTGCTATCATTTCAATGTTGGGGTGTCCAGAGACACGTTTGAATCTCTTTTAAGGGACATTCACCAGGAGAAGGGGATCGGAAAGGGAGGGATTGGGGGGGCAAAAAGTCAGTCTTGTCCGTCTGTCAGACTTCGATGCTATCTCAAAATAAATGAATTTCCAAACTGCCAATCTTTAAGGAAATCTTCTCTTTATTCGAGTACAGCAACCGGATCATGACTCGGGCGGACAAGACTGACCTTTTGCCCCCCAATCCCTCCCTTTCCGATCCCCAATTCTCTGCTTCTCATTGGCTATCTTCCGAGTCACTCTCCTGACTTCTTGTCTCGTCATTTCACAGGAATGTTCCCCGCCCTCTTCATTTCCACGGAGACCAAGCTTCAAAGGGATTTAGCAGGCAAAAGTCCAGGGCTTATCTCCCTTTCTATGTCAGCGCTGAGACGCTGACACAAAGGAGAATGCAGAGGTCCCTGAAAACCCTTTTTCTTTGATTTTTTTTTTAAAAAAGGGTGGTTTTTATTCCTTGGGGGGAAAAAATCTGGAAAAGCCTGTAGCTGCTCAAACCTCGAGAAATATATATATATATATAAAAACCCCTGGATGGTACCTAAAGGAAGATAGCCAAGCATCTTCACCTCCTAACAAACCAGCTGGCGTTTTTCCCTCTCCCCCCCGACGGCTAAATTTCCCTTATCGTCTCTACCCTGTGCTCCAGGACCTGAAACTTCCCATTTTACAAAAATATCTAGTCGTGTAGTTAAAATAAATCCATGCGTTCCCGTTTTCTTTTCGTTACGTAAAGCATCCCGGTGTCACACAGCAAGGGTTGTGGGTTGTTTGTTTTTTTTTAAACTATACAAAGGTTTCAGATCAGGGGTCAGCAACCTGTGGCCTGCTGGCCAAATCCAGCCCGCAGGCGAAATATGGCTGGCTGGAGACAGATGGTCAGCCCCGAGCCTCAGCCAAGCTCCTGGAGGGGACAGGGGAAGAGGCTGGGGTCTCCTGGACAGGGGTGGCCAGCACCATCCCCGCGGCTGTCGTGTCCCAGACCTGCCAGCCATCCCTGCAAGAGGCAGAGGAGGAGGCAGGATTTGGGCTTTGGGGATTTAACAGTTGCCGACCCCTGCTCTAGAGGCGTTAACTCGTCTGCCAGCTCGCCCAGAGCAGGTTCGTGGGTGGATTTGAACCCGCGCCGTCTCCTGCAAACCGCAAAGCGTGCACCACCCTATTCGGAGGAGCCGGTGTAGGGCGACCGGCAAGGTTGTGCGTGTTTGTTTGTTTTTTGTTTTGTTTTGTTTGTTTTCTCAGAGGAAAAAGACCCAGCGGTAAAACACACAGACAAGAAGCATCAGGGTACAGTAAAAGGCAGCGAAAGCACAGAGTTGAGTAGAAAGTAGCACCAGATTAGGCTCTTCGGAGTCTGTGCCCAGAGAAAGGAGGGATTCGACAGTCCTCTGAATGCTGAGGTTTAGCTGGAGAATGTCGGAAGGGGAACAGAGACTGTCCTGTCCGGAAGGGGCAGCAGGAAAGGAAAACAGACAGAAACAAAAATTAGTAGAAGCTCGGGTCAGTAGGCATGCCGGATTCTCAGAAGCTGCCCAATGGAAGCTCTTCGCCAGGTTGCAACGTTTCCGTTTTTAAACCACTATGACGTGCAGACGTAACAGGGAGTCCTTGGCTTACGACCACAACATTTCCACCGCTAAGCAAGGCGGCTGTTAAGCGAGTCCTGCCCCGTTTTGCAATCTGTCTTCCCGCCGTTAAGTGAACCACTAGCAGTGACATGGCTGCGAAGAAGCTTCTTGGAGGAGAAGCGAAACGTCTTCAAGGAAAATCAAAGGAAGCCCAGCTGCCCTTTGAAAAAAAAAGCCTCTCTTTGGGACAACGACCGTGACCTGAATGACAGAGAATCTCCCAAAGACATTTAGTAACACGGTTGTTAAGTGAATCTGGCTTCCCCCACTGACTTTTGCATGTCAGAAAGTCGCAAATGGGGATCACATCAGGGGTGAAATTTAAAATTTGTTACTACCAGTTCTGTGGGCGTGGCTTGGTGGGAGGGGGTAATGTGACTGGGTGGGCGTGGCCATTTTTTTTTATTTTACTTTTAAAATCATTTTTTTTCTACCACATCTTCAGTGAAGAGGTTGTTAAAAAATGCTTTCAAAAGGCTCTGACGATCCCAGCTGAGTTGCCTGATCGGCAGAGGCTTTTTTTCTTTTAAAAGCCTTTGATGATCCCAGCTGAGCCGTGCGATCATCAGGGGCTTTTTTTTTACTTTTAAAAGCATTTTTCGGCCAAAGAGGTTGTAGAAAAAATGCTTTTAAAAGTAAAAAAAAAAAGCCTCTGATGATTGTGCGGCTCAGCTGGGCATGGGGGGGTGGGGCAGGGATTTTTGCTACCGGTTCTCCGAACCACCCGCCTCCATCGCTACCAGATTGGACGATCCGGTTGGAACCGGGAGCATTTCACCCCTGGATCACATGAACCCCAAAACCCCATCAGTCGATTGCTTTAAAAGGCGGCTTTCCATCACGTTTTGAAACAGCCTATCTCCGTCCCAAGACTCTGGACCACGTACAAATCAGTCTTCCAAAGCACGTTGTACTGTGCAGGTAGTCCTCGACTTACACCCGCTTTGTTTAGTGACCGTTCAATGTGTTTTTCACATTTACAACCACATTGTAAAACCCCCGTGGTCACGCGATCAAAATTCAGGCGCTTGATATTTACGACACTTGCCTGAAATCATGTGATTCCCCCCTTTTGGGATCTTGGGGAAAGCCAGATTCATTTAACAACCATGCCACTAAGTTAACAATTGCGGCAATTCGCTTAGCAACTGGGGCAAGAGAGGTCTAAAATTGTAGGAGGTGACCAGGCTGAGTCCGAGGGAGGGGAGGGCCGAATGCGTCATCTATCACGAGCCGCATCGCACCCACAAGAGAGGTCAGTCCAGCCCTCCTTGAATTCCTTCGATTCTTATTTACCACCAATTTCTGTGGGCTGTTAGTAGTTCAGATTCTTGTCGAGAGTTTGAGCTTGCAATAAATATGCTCATTTGAGCTGCTGTTGTGACCTCTCGGCCGCTGGCTCCTCCAGCAGCCGAATCAGAGGAAGAGGAGGAGGAGGAGGAGGAGGAGGAGGAGGAGGAGGAGGAGGAGGTGGTGTGGGAGTCAGGGTCAGCATCAAGGCAACCTGAGAGCTCCAAGGGGGAAGAGGGAATGGAGCCGTCAGAGAGAGAGAGACAGAGGCAGAGCCTGGGCCATCCATCAGCCCTCAGATGGAGAGTCAACAGCCCCCAGATGGCTGATGAGGAAGAGGAGGAACAGCTGGGTCCAGTGCCTGACCCGCAGATCGAAGAAGGCAGAGGAGAGGAGAGCAGTGGAAATCTATGGGCCGGTCCTTGGGACGGAAGAGCCACCTCTGCTAGTGAAGCCCCACTCCTAGCTCTGGGGATAAAAGGCAGGGGGTGGAGATGAATAGATGTGGCAGACAACTATTCATCTTCCGGACAGACGGACTTGTTAGCCTGCGGTGAGAGAGAAATTTTTGCCGGGGCTGCCGGGGCTGCCGGCGCTCCTAATAAAGGGAACAATTAGGTAATTTAAGAGGGTTTGTTGTGCTTTGAAGCTGGGTCAGAACAGCTACCTGGATCTCCTGATTTCTTTGGCGTTTCACAAAAATGGGGCAAAACTCACTTAACAACGGTCCTGCTTAGCGATGGAAATTGTGGTCGTAACTCAAGGACTACCTGTATCTTGCTCAAAGCAGTTGGAAGCAAGATTTCAGCCCCAAAACGTTTAACAGGACTTGATCTCAGGTCCTTCCAGAATTGTGGCGATGCCGAAGGACATAGCCAATTGCAACAGGTTTACACCTGTGGTGTTCGCCCTCAACCCGATTGCAACGGGGAGAAATCCTACTTGGGCAGCTTCAGGCAGGGTCTTCTGAATTGCTCCCAGGGGTTGTCCCCTCCTCCCTTTGTCCAACCACTGACCCTCCTATAAAGCTGAGAAACCCAGGAGGAGTTCAGAAGACCACAAATCAGAGGTGGTTAGTTTTCCGTGCATTGGAAATTTTGACTTGGGCCCATCCTTCCATTCACAAGGACCGTAAGGTGTGAAACGAAGACGTTCGTCGGATTAAAAACAGGATGATCAGGCTGGAGAGATGCAACCGTATCTGATATTACTCGGTATTTTTCCGTTCCATCCAGGAGACAGCACTGACTTGAGATCTGAAACAGAGTCTGCCCTTCCTTCCTTTGTTGCTCGTCGGGTGTGTTGGATTACAACTCCCATCACCTCTCGCCAGCATGGCCGAATGCTCTCTTGGCTTAGGACAATGGGAACAGTAGTCCAAGATATCCTCCCAAGTAGTTTAGCTGTAGCTGAAGAGGCCAGGAGCCTGTTCTGTTTTGCTTTGTTTCCTTCTTTTTGTACCTGTCTTTTGATGCGTGGGTGTACCATTTTGGGGTGTATTCCATTCTGAATTAGTGCCAAGAACCCATGGGCTTCAAAATTTTTACCAAGGGGTTCTCTACCCAGTTGCTGGGTGGGTGTGGCCATGGTGGGCGTGGCCATGGTAGGCATGGCCTAATTGGCCTCCTGCACCCTGGCCGAACTTCCAGTAGGCCTGTTTTTCGTCCTCCCCGAGCCTCCACGCATACCCTGCACTTACCTGCATCCAAAACAAGCCAGGTGGGGACTCCTGGGCAGGGCCAGCCAGGAGTGGGATTTGGGGGTTCTCCGAACTGCACAGAATTTTAGCTAGAGGTTCTCACGAACCCCCAGGAGCCCATCCCTGGTTCTTGGGAGGTGAGATTAAACATCCCAAAGAGGTTTCAAAGACAGCAACCCCCTCCCTTCTTGCACTGATGACGTTACCTAGTTGGGTCCTGAAATGTCTGCAAGAAAACCACCAAGGACCTCACAATCCTCCTCCTCCTCTCTGCAAACCCCACTTCTCTCTAGCACTGATGATGTTACCTAGTTGGGTCATGAAATGTCTGTGTGAAAATAACGAAGCTCAGAGAGCACCAAGGAGCCCACAGTCCTCCTCCTGCTCTGCTCCTCCTCCCCACCACCTTCTAGCACTGATGATGTTACTTAGTTGGGTCATGAAACATCTGCAAGAAAACAACCCACTTCAGAAAGCATCAAGGACCTCACAATCCTCAACCTCCTTCTCTTCCTCCCCCACTCTGCAAAAACCACCCTCACAGTATTAGTCCTGATAACGTTACCTAGTTGGGTAATGTTAATGTCCGCAAGAAAGCAACCAAGCTCAGAGAGCACCAGGGACCCCACGGTTATCTAAAAAGTTGGTCCTATGAAATAAGTCCGCGCAATATGAAGAAAAATTGGAAGGCTTCCTCTCGTACCTGAGGCACCCCTATTTTTCGACAGGCTTCCAGGAAATTTTCCACATTCCGTCGACACTTGGCCATGGTTAACTTAGGCTGCAGAAGGGAGAAAGAAGAACATGGCGTTCACCAGGAGCAGCTGTTGTTAAAGTCTCTGGTAGCGATGGTGGACCTACAACACGTGTGTCAAAGATGACAAGCCATACGGTGTTGGGGGTGACGCCGGGACTGTCCAGCATTGACCTCCATTGAGGCAAGAATGGGAGAGGCTGTTTTGCTACCTCCAAAAATGAAATAGAATAGAATAGAATAGAATAGAATAGAATAGAATAGAATAGAATAGAATAGAATAGAATAGAATAGAATGGAATGGAATGGAATGGAATGGAATGGAATGGAATGGAATGGAATGGAATGGAATGGAATAGAATAGAATAACAGAGTTGGAAAGGACCTTGGAGGTCTTCTAGTCCAACCCCCTGCCCAGGCAGGAAACCCTACAACACTTCAGACAAAGGGTTATCCAACACCTTCTTAAAAATTTTCCAGTGTTGGAAATTGGTAGCCTGCTGCTACTGATAACCTCCCACCGGCCAGTACGCTCGCACAGAGAGGGCCTCCTCAGGGTGCCGTCGGCCAAGCAATGTCGGCTGGTGGCCCCCAGGGGGAGAGCCTTCTCTGTGGGGGCACCCAACCTGTGGAATGAGCTGCCTCCTGGAATACGACTGATCCCAGACCTCCGCACTTTCCGCAAGGCCCTGAAGACTTATTTATTCCAACAAGCCAGCCTAGCTTAAATGGTTTTAATGGGGATTTTTAATCTTTTAATTTTATTGGTTTTTGGGTTTTAAATTGGGAATTTTTTGATTTTGTAGATTTGGGATTTTTAAATTGGAAATGCCGATGATTTAATTTATTTTAGTTTTTTCTTAACTTTTCTACTATATGTGTTTTAATTTCTGGCTGTCCACCGCCCTGAGTCCCCCTGGGGAGAAGGGCGGTATATAAGTTGAAATAATAATAATAATAATAATAATAATAATAATAATAATAATAATAATAATAATAATAATAATAATAATAAAATTAAATATTAAATAATTAAATATTATATAATTATATTATAATTATATAATTAAATATTAAATAATTAAATATTATATAATTATAATTATAATTATTACTATTACTATTACTATTATTATTATTATTATTTACAACTTCTGGAGGCAAGTTGTTCCACTGATTAATTGTTCTCACTGTCAGGAAGTTTCTCCTTAGTTCTAAATTGCTTCTCTCCTTGATGAGTTTCCACCCATTGCTTCTTGTCCTGCCTTCAGGGGCTTTGGAGAATAGCTTGACTCCTTCTTCTTTGGGGCAGCCCCTGAGATATTAGAACACTGCTATCATGTCTCCCTTAGTCCTTCTTTTCATTAAACTAGCCATGGACAGTTCCTGCAACTAGACATACCCAGTTCCTGCAATTTCTTTTATTTGCATTTCATAGTTATTTGATGTTGCTTTATACATGTTCATTATTACATTTATAGAGCCCAATCATGAATATATGGAGCTGAGTGAGTAAAATTCCAAGGAAAGAGAAAGAGGAATAAAAGCCAATTTTCCCAAACAGACCCAACACGACTACCCCGGATACTTACGACAGCTGGCGAGGGCACGTGAATACTAGGGACAGAACGAGGCCGCACGTGATTGGCTAAATGGCAAAGCACCACGCCGTCTGTTAAGGCTGCGCTGAGATCGCTCGGCAAAGACACTTTTAACCGGGATTCAATGTTCTGGAAAATACGAGGGCAGAAATGATTGCTAAAACAAAAAGTATAGGTTAAGTACAGATAGTTACAAGTTCATTTAGTGACCGTTCAAAGTTACAACAGCACTGAAAAAAAGTGACTTATGGCCATTTTTCACACTTAATGACGTGTTTTAGCATCCCCGTGATCATGGGATCAAAATTCAGACGCTTGGCCACTGGTTCATATATATGACGGTTTGCTGTGTCCCAAGATCATGGAATTTACCTTTGGCTATCTTTTGCAAGCGAAGTCAATGAGGAAGCCAGATTCACTTACCGACTTTATCAAGTGCAGTGATTCACTTAACAACTGTGACAAGAAAGGTCATAAAATGGAAAAAAATCCACTTAACGAATGTCACACTTAACCACAGGAATTTGGGGCTCAATTGTGGTTGTAAGTGGAGGACTACCTGTACTTTACAGATAGTCCTCGACTTACAACAATTCATTTAGTGGCTGTTCTTTTATGTCCCAGTTGGGTTCGGATATCAGAGTCAGCCATAAAAACCAAGCCCACCAAATCTTCTGTTCCAACGAAATAATCGTCTCTTCAATTACATACTTTTCGCAGTTGCTCTATCACCAAAACGTCTTCTTCCGGCAAGGTGGAATTATGGTTATCGCTGATGTCATCTGTGCAATTAACCAGGGCTGGTGAAGAAGCAGACGTGACGGCTGAAAAAGGCAAAATTATCACCATGAACACTCAACATCGCTGCCATCACCTTCCTCATAATAGGGCAGGTAGATTACTGACACACTGCAGTGTCAGGTCCATTGAAGGAGCTTCAAAAATCTTCGCTACTGAACTAAATCAGTGTTTTGCAACCTTAGCAAACTTAAAATATGTGGCCTTCGACCCTCCAAATTCCCCAGCCAGCATGGGAATATTTACAACTCAGGGGATATTTACAACTCAGCCTAGGCAACTCAGTCCTCTTAACTGTTTTGTGTTAATTTAATCTGCCCTTTTCTTAATCGTCCGATCCATAATCAATTCATTTTTTTTTTAAAAAAAGGTTTTTTATTGTTTGACCAAACGGTTCAAAGTTTTTCCATTTCTGCAAATTCCAACATTTTCACAGTCCGTTTTTCCAATGTGGGAACATCATTATTTTTGTGTCATTGTGTTACACAATACCCATCCATCATAAATCCTTTTTAATTCATACAGAATACAGACAAAAGTTGGGAGGGACCTTGTAGGTAATCTAATCCAACCCTCCTGCTTTAGCAGGAGACTCTATACCACTCATCATTTGTGAGTTCCAATTTGTAAAAGTTCTGGGTTTTTTTTAAGCAATATTAATCTTTAAAATTAATGAAAGATGAAAGCCAGGAGAATGACTTTGGGCCTATTCCCTCTCTCTCTTATAGCCCAGCCCACCTCACAGGACTGTTGTGGAGAAAATAGGAGCAGAAAGGAGTATTACTTGACTGGTGTATAAAATTTTTTTTAATTTAATTTTTTTATTTTATTCTAATACAAATAATTCATCTTCCATTGTGTCGTCTGGGTACAAATGTCTTGTGCAATAACAATTAAAATTTACAGCCATATTCATTATTTGTCTACTCTTAACTTAATACTGATATACATAACGTATCTAATACTGTAGCAATCTCAACTTATTTAATTCTACTGTTATATTTTCCATACTTCACTGATCTACTTTTATTTCTAACTTTCATATTTATACTCTAACCATCGGTAAAATAGCTCCCACATCATATAATATTCAGTTTGTTCCTTCTATTTAATTGGCAGTATTAACCTATTCATTTCTGCACATTCTAATATTTTCCTAATCACATTTTCATCCGTAGGAATCTCTTCACTTTTCCAGTTTTGTGCAAATACAATTCTAGCTGCAGTTAAGTTTTAGTTTAGTTTAGTTTTATTTGATTTGTATACCGCCCTACTCCCAAAGGACTCAGGGCGGTGAACAGCCACAGGATAAAAAACATAAATACAAAATTTAAAACTGAATAAAATCGAATTAAACAATTTGGCTGAAGACAGATTTAAAACACCCCAATAAATTAAAAACGAATTAAAATTTACGTTTTAAAAAGGGGGAAAAGGGAAACAGTTAGGCTAGGCCAGCCTGATGGAATAAAAAGGGCACGGCGGAAGGTGCGTAGATCCGGGATCCTCCGGATCTCCGGGGGGAGCTCATTCCAGATAGTAGGTGCCCCCACAGAGAAGGCTCTCCCCCTGGGGGCCACCAGTCAACATTGTTTGGCCGACGGCACCCGGAGGAGCCCCTCTCTATGAGAGCGTACCGGCCGGTGGGAGGCTACTGGTGGCAGCAGGCGGTCCCGTAAGTAACCAGGTCCTAAGCCATGGAGCACTCTAAAGATGGTAACCAAGACCTTGAAGCGCACATGGAACACCACCGGGAGCCAGTGCAGCTCGCGCAGGAGAGGTGTTACATGGGAACGCCATGTCGCTCCCATTTCCACCCGCGCGGCCGCACTCTGCGCCAGTTGGAGCCTCCGGGTGCTCCTCAAGGGGAGCCCCATGTAGAGAGCGTTGCAGTAGTCCAGGCGGGAAGTGACTATTATTAATACATGAATAATCAGATATATATTTTCTTTACCAGAGACTTATAGTAGTGTCTGGTAAAATCCCCAACAAGAATATTTTGGGTTTCAAATCAATGTGCTATTTGGCAGCACATTGGTTTATAAAAATATTAAAGATGGGGTATAAATAAATACCTTTGCACCCCAAATGACTTAGCTTGCATAAATTTCCTTTCAACCAGCAGCTGAAATCCACCCCTTTTCATTCAGGCAAGATTGCTCTTATCTGACTGTTTGCAGCTAATTTTAAGTGTCCGGCTTTAGAATTAAACATCGGGACACAGCCTGGATCCCATGGCTGAACCAAGAGCCGAGGTGGCGCAGTGGTTAGAGTGCAGTACTGCAGCTACTTCAGCTGACTGCTAGTTCAGCGGATCAAATCTCACCGGCTCAAGGTTGACTCAGCCTTCCATCCTTCCGAGGTGGGTAAAATGAGGACCCAGATTGTTGGGGGGCAATATGCTATTTAGTATACTGTCTTTGGTGTAAGCCGCCCAGAGTCCTCGGAGAGTGGGCCGCATAGAAATATGACTAATAAATAAATAAATAAATAAACTTACCTTTGTTTGCTTCTTCTCTGGTGGCGTTTCGGAAAAGGAAGCTTTCGGGGCGCTGGGGAGTTGCTCTGTAGGAAGGGGTGGCGGCTGGGCCAGGATATGGGACAGACAGGTGAACTAAATGGGAACATGGAAGGATGCGGCGGGGTTGGGGGGGACGGAGGAAGGGGAGAAGAAAAGCAAAATCCTTATTATGACAACTTAAATAAATAGAAGCTAACCATAGGTAGTTCTTGAGTTACAACCATTTTTTTTATCAACCATTATATGTTATAATGGCCCTGACTTACTTACAGCTGGTCCTCGCATTTATGACCGTTGCAGCAACTCCAGTGGCCACATGATCAAAATTTGGACGCTTGGTAACCAGCGTGTTGCGGTATCCCAGGGTCATGCGATCGCCGTTTGCAAACTTCCCAGGGCACATGAAAGCCAGTTAGAGCCTTTGGGCCAACCAGATCCAAAGGTGCTAACCAGGAGACAGTGAGTTCTAGTCCCGCTTTAGGAATGAAAGCTAGCTGGGTGTCTTTGGGCCAACTGCCAGGAACCTGTGAGTTCTAGTTCCACCATGAAAGCCAGCTGGGTGACTTTGGGCCAGTCCCTCTCTCAGCCTAGCCCACCAGCCAGGGTTGTTGTTGTTGTTGAGTTATTTATAGAAATGTTACTTATAAAAATAAAATAAAATATAAAATAAAATAACTAAAATAAAATACAAATAATAAAATAAAAAATAACTAAAGTAAAATAAAAAATATATATAAATACCGTATTTTTCGGAGTATAAGACACACTTTTTTCTCTCCTAAAAGAGGCTGAAAATTTGGGTGCGTCTTATACTCCGAATGTAACCCCGCGCAGTGCCCAAAGTGGCTACCCGGAACAGCTGCTGCCTTCTCTTACCCCTTCCGCGCTTTGCCTGCTTTAGTCACTGGAGCTCCCTCCGAGGATCAGCTGTGCTTTAGAAGCTGTTTTTTAGCCCCAATTAGCCCCAACCTCAAAACCCAGTGAGCGAACTAATGTGCTGAAGCTGCCCAGGCTAAGGAGTAGACAGATGAATACCTGGTAGTGGTAACTGCCCCAGCTACGGACCCCAAAGAACGCAGCACACCCAAAGTCTGTAAAATTTAGTTTACTAAATTAAATCAGTCTTTTTCAAACAAAGGCTGTTAATTAACTTTCTTAACAGACTACAAGAATCCAAAGAATAAATAATCGTAATCTTACTAGGGTTGGCAGAAAGCCCAGAAGCAATTTGCAGGAAACTGATAACTAAGATCAAGACACGAAGGAGAGTGAGCAAAGTTGTTCCCTGCAAATTGCTTCAGTCGGTGTTCCTCCTTAAATAGGCTAAGGGAGTGGCCAATTAGCCCCAAGCCTTACTCTCGAGGAGACCTCCTCCTGAGGAGCCACTCCTGCCTTTTGGCAGCTCTGCGCGCCCGTGCATCGAGAAGAGGCTCCTCCTCTTCTTCCTCTTCACTTATGGGAGCTTCTGAAGGCCCTGGCTGAATCCCTGCCTCTGGCACCACATCTTCTCCAGCCTCCTCATTGTCTGACTCGAGTGCCAGCTGCACAGGCTGCTAGCGCAGCACCACACCAGCCTCCTCGCTGTCGGAATCAGCTACCAGCTGCACAGGCCGCTGACGGGCAACAACAGGTAGGCAGAATTTTTTCTCTCCTATTTTCCTCCCCAAAAACTAAGGTGCGTCTTATACTCCAGTGCTTCTTATACTCCGAAAAATACTGTAAATAAAATAAATGAAATATGGAGCCAAGAGGCACTTGGGAGGGCAGAGATATGTCCTCACTGCTATTTCAAACAACCATCCCTGAAGGCCGTGGGAGATAAGCAGCCAAGAAACAAGTGTCCACACTCAGAATAGTGGTACACCCTCCCCGCCCTTTACACACTGGGTTGTCCCTTATTAACTCACAAGGCTGATGTGAAAATATATTCTCCCTCCTCCCCCCCCCCCAGGCTTAGTGATGGACAATTTCATTATCGGTAGTCCTTGACTTACAACAGTTTGTTCTGTGACTGATGGAAGTTACAACAGCACTGAAAAAAGGGACGGGGACCCTTTTTCATACTTACGACCGTTGCAGCATTTCCCAGGGTCACATGATCAAAATTCAGACCGACTCATATTGATGACGGTTGCCCTGTCGTGCGATTCCCCTTTTGACAAGCCAAGTCGATAGGGGAAGGCAGATTCACTTAACGACCATATGACTAATTTAACAACGGCAGCGATTCGGTCACCGACGGCGAAAAGGAAGGTCGTAAAATGGGGCTGAAACTCACTTAACTGTCTGCGCTTAGCAACAGAAATTTTGGGCTCAATTGTGGTCGTAAGTCGAGAACTACCCATGTGATCATCTGGACAAGATCCCAAATCCTGACAAAGACCCTCCTCTGGCCTCCTTAGGAATCTGCGGTGGGTCACTTCCTTGTTTACCTGTTTGAGAAGTGGGTGAATTCGGTGAGATGGTGGATCGGTCGTCACTCTGTGGATCAAGAGAAAGAGAGGAGTGAAACTCTCGGACATTCAGCAAAGCTCAAATGAAGGTCGGAGCACACCCAGAATATGATTTTGAGGACCGCAGATTCTCTGAAGAGAATAAGGACATTCTGCCAACTCTTTCACCAGTTTAATAATGGAGAGCAATATCCCATTCTCTTTTGAGATCGAATGTCGAGGAACAAAAAGCCACAACAGAAAAGAGCATCTGCTAAGCCAGCCAGAGAAAAGCGGGTCCTAATTACTGCGAGAATTTTTTTTTTTTTTAAAAAGCAATGTTGATTATATACAAAACCTTCACCAAAGCCAAAGCAAAAACGTTGAGACAGTCCGGGTTGCAAAATTAATTCCACAATTTTCTCTTGGAGGTCTACAAAACCATTACTGGATGCCAGCTGACCTCCCTCCCAGGCTCCACCGACAGAGGGATGCAATTTTAAAAATAATTAAGAGTTAAATAGCAAATGTGTGTACCAACCTTCCTCAGCCTGATCATCTCCCCATGTGCAGGACTGCAACTCCCATGACTCCCAGCCAATGTTGATTTGGCTGGGGCTGATGAGAGCTGTAATCCAAGGTACGAAGATGGAGAAGGACGGTATAAGTCTACCACAATGGATTTCTTTATCACAAAATATCTATCTCCCGTTTTAAACTTGGGCCCAGTTTTGAGAAAAGCAAAGCCTACCTTATCCATTCTGCTAACGCAAAGGTGGGGAATGATGGTCCCTTTATGACTTGTGGACTTCAATCCCCAGAATTCCTGAGCCAGCCATAGTGGCTGGCTCAGGAATTCTGGGAATTGAAGTCCGCAAGTCATAAAGGGACCATCATTCCTGACCTCTGTGCTAACCAAGCGTCCCCTTCTAATCAGAAACATAAAATCATTAAGGAAGAACCGGTAAATAAACACTGTCAACTTTCAAGAGTTCGTTTAGGGACTGTTCAAAGTTACAACGGCACTGAAAAAAGTGACTTGGGACTATTTTTCACCCACAGTCGTTGAGATGCTTAACAACTAACTCACATTTATGATGGTTAGTGTCCCGGGGTCACGTGATCCCCTTTTGCGACCTCTTTTTTGTGACAAGCAAAGCCAATGGGGAAGCCAGACTCACTTAGCAACCGTGTGACTCACTTAATAACTGCAGCGATTCCCTTAACAATTATAGCGAGAAAAGTCGTAAAATGGGGCAAAACTCCCTTAACAAATGTCTCTCTTAGCAATGTACGTTTGGGGCTCAACTGTGGCCGTACGTTGAGGACTACCTGTATTCTTTGCAACGAGATCTGGAGTGACACTGCCAGGGTGGCGCTGCACCAATTTTACTCCGGCAGTCTTTCCATGCCACCAGTAGCAACAGTGGGGCAGAGCCAGAAAACCAGGGTGACATCCAAATCCATCTTCAGTCCTTTCTCCTGCCCCACTCTTGGGTGTGTACAAAACCTCACACGCCCAACTCTTTAATCCCCAACAGGTTTACGGCAATGCAGTTTTGCACGACTGGGGAAGGACGGAGTTAATTGCAGCTAAAAGCACACAGTGCTTCCAAAACAATAATTTTAGCCACCGCCACGACTCTAGGACAACAGGCAACCAGAACCTCAAGTGTGGAGGGAGGCGGCTAAAACCCGCAATTTTATTTCGCTGCACGCAAAGGCCAGAATGTCGAGCTGGCTGCAAGGACTGGGATGGTTTTGTATTGCTGGCTTGTCGGATCTGGTTTCAGGCAATTTCCTTACCCCAGAGCTAAAATCTTTGTTCAAAGCCGGGGAAACTTCTTGGCTGGCCAGGCACTGTGATGTAAGAAGGGAAGTGGAAAACAAAGGAGGGCCAGACAATGATCCATTATGCTGGGAGAACCCTGCCCCCCCACCCCACCCCCAGCACGAAAGTGCCAAGAGATGGAAAGCAATCCAAAAAAAGCCCTGAAAAAAACTGGTGCCCAAGTCCCATCAGTAGCAAAACAGTTTGCAAAACAAAAATTAAACGTTTGGTGGGGTGGTTAAGGTGCTGGCTTAGCAACTAGGAGACGGTGACTTCTAGTCTTGCCTTAGGCATGAAAGCTGTCAGAGGAGAGGGGAATTTGGGCCAATCGCTAGGAGACAGAAAGTTCTAGTTCCACGTTAGGCAGGAAAGTCAACTGAATATTATTAGGTCAATCACCAAGAGACAGTGAGTTCTAGTCCCGCTTTAGGCATGAAAGGCAGCAGGGTGACTTTGGGCCAATCACCAGGAGACAAGAGAGTTCTAGTCCTGCCTTAGGCATGAAAGCTGGCTGGGTGACTTTGGTCCAATCACTCTCTCTCTCTCTCAGCCCAGCCCACCTGACAGGTGGGTTCCTCATCCTGGTTTCTAGCCTGGTGCATTAACCACCAGACTAAACTGGCTCAAGATCAGGTTACGTAAGCAGCCTCGTCCCCCGACAAACATCTGCCTGACCCATGTGCTCCCACAGGGAGGACATGCTCTGGGTTTCTTAAGCCTCTTATGGGCCCTAGGAAGGGTGTGTCAGCACTCCAAACTACATTCGTTCCAGTGCTGACATAAGGAGAAGAGGGGGCAGCTGGCAAGAGGACGCTTGACTTTTCACCTACTTATTTTCCCTGAAGATAATATCCCCTAGGACAGTGGTCCCCAACCTTTTTATCGCCGCGGCCCGCTGAGCGCGCGCAGGGGTGGGGACACGGCCCAGGAGCTTTTGCGCACGGCCCATTGCGCACGGCCCAGGAGCCTTTGCGCTGCCGCGTTCATGTCCCCCGGCCGCTGCGCGGCCCAGTGCCAGGTACTCCACAGCCCGGCACCGGTCCGCGGACCAGGGGTTGGGGACCACTGCCCTAGGAGATGGGATGGGAGGGGGGGACATTCCTGGGAGCTGAAGTAATAGATATGGGGAGAGTGATTTGGAAGATGGCCAATGAGACGCAGAGAATTGGGGAACGGAAAGGGAAGGTTTGGGATCAGGAAGTCACTGTTGGTTATGATGTAGTCAGGAGCAGATTGTCGTGCTTAATAAATGAAAGATTTCATCAAAGACTATTTGTTTGGAAATGCAATTTGTTTGAGACGACACCGAAACCTGACAGGGTGCTTTTTCTATGGTTCACCCCCTCCAGAGCAATCTTTCCCCCCACCCCCAAATATATGATGAGTCCCAACTCTGCTCGCCTTGAGGAAAGGCCCCAGGACCTGGCATTAGGGCTTGGTCTGCTGGGTTCGTTTTGTTCTGTGATTGCCATTTTAAATGTCAGTTTTTGTAGTTATATATACAGAGCAAGTTGGATGTAGTGGTTAGGCAGTGGTGAAATCCAGATTTTTTTACTACAGGTTCTGTGGGCGTGGCTTGGTGGGCGTGGTGTGGTGTGGCTTGGTGGGCGTGGCAGGGGAAGGATACTGCAAAAACCCCATTCCCACCCCACTCTGGGGCCAGCCACAGGTGGTATTTGCCTGTTCTCCGAACTACTCAAAATTTCCGCTACCGGTTCTCCAGAACCTGTCAGAACCTGCTGGATTTCACCCCTGTTGTTAGGGCATCAGAAACTGGGAGACGGTGAGTTCTAGTCCCGTCTTAGACACAAAGCCATCTGGATGACCTTGGGCCAGTCCCTCTCTCTCAGCCCTAGGAAAGAGGCAATGGCAAACCACTCTCAAAACTTTGCCAAGAGAACTGCAAGGATAGGTCCAGGCAGAGACTGACTTCAAAGGCACATAAACACACAGACACTCACTTATGTATTATAGCAAGTGAGCCGGAGTTAATGTTATTTGGACGATTTCTTTCTTTCATGAGACGTGGTGCCGCAGTGGTTAAGAGTGCAGTATTGCAGGCTACTTCTGCTGACTGTCGGCTGCCTGCAATTTGGCAGTTCAAATCTCACCAGGCTCCAGTTGACTCAGCCACCCATCCTTCTGAAGTGGGTAAAATGAGGACCCAGATTGTTGGAGGCAGGAGGCTGACTCTAAACCGCTTAGAGAGGGCTGTGAAGCGGTATATGTCTAAGTGCTATTGCTTTCCAGGATCAGGCTGAGATGTCTGACGATATGAAGCATTAAGTGAAGAGGAGAGAAAAACACAACACAACACAACACTGAACGCATGCAAGCTGTAAACATGCAGAAGCAAGCGGATTTCTAGGGCAAAGCAGCTGGGTTTCAGCAGCTATTTTTAAGCTCCCAAAGGATCTTTAAAGGAGGAAGGAAATAGCATAAAACATGGAAATAGGGTTATATGAACAGTGGACAGCCTTAAAAATGGGATCCGGATTAGAGCGATGACATCACTGATTTAAACAAAGTGTTTAGTCTTCATTAGACAGATCTGATCACCCAAATTGGTGACAGACATTAATGATTGAAATGACTTTTACAAACACACACACAAAACTTACAATGGAAAACTTTTTCGTGTCTTTGGAAGGTCATCTGGATAAATATAGAGAGTGGTGTCTCTCAACTTTGGCCACTTTAAGATACATGGACTTCAACTCCCAGAATTCCACTTTAAGATATGTGGACTTCAGCTCCCAGAATTCCACTTTAAGATACGTGGACTTCAACTCCCAGACTAACTCCCAGAATTCCACTTTAAGATACATGGACTTCAAAAAAAAAACAAACAAAAAAAAACAACAACTTTTTAAATAAATAAATAAATAAATAAAAGATACATGGACTTCAACTCCCAGAATTCCACTTTAGATACGTGGACTTCAACTCCCAGAATTCTGGAAGTTGATGTCCCCACATCTTAAAGGGCCCAAGGTTGAGAAACACTAATAGGAGAGTATCACATTCAAGGATAAAGCCAATCCAAATCTACCTTGCCATATCGAAATAACTGAAAGTTTTTCAGTAATAAATGTGCATTCATTCACATTTTAGTTCTGTTTTTCCACAGACCGGGTGGTGTGGTGATGTGGTGTTAGGCTATAACTCCCACGCTCATGTGGCCGTATTTGGGTCATCTGGCAATGGGCTCACATTTGCAACCGGCGCCCCGCAGTCACGTGATCCAATTTTGCAGCAAAAACTGCCCATGGGAGAAGCTGGATTCGGATTTACAACCATAAGGACAGTGGTTGCTCGCTTAATGACCAACTTAAAAAACAGTCGTAAAATCAAAACTGGTCAGGCGGTGACGCGACCTACAACCTCAACGTCTTAACATTCCTGGGTTCAGCTGCGGTCATAAGTCGAGGACTACCTGCATTGACCAAAAAATCGTATCTCAGCTTTTGTAGACGCCAAATCGCAATGAAAAAGCTCGGGGGTGTGAGGGGGGAAGGAACGGTGAATGTTGGCTACAGCCAACTTTGTAATCATGGTTTACCAGAATGATGTGATTAGGAAAAGGAGGGGCAGCCATGTTTTATGCTATTTGGAGGTTGCGCTGATGAATGGCCTCGTCTGGCATGCTAATTCTGGTCTCGGATGCTCACACACACACACACACACACACACAAAAGCAGGCTACGGCGTGCAGGATTCTTACCACCAGCAAGGCACTATCGTCAGTGTGCTGAGACCTTCTGGACGGAAAGGGGCACTGGGTACGCGGGAGAAATGTCCGTGTCAGTGACAGAGAAGACAAAACAACACCGTATGCAGACAAGCAGAGACATCTGGAATTAACAAGGCTTTTTACGGGGAAGACGGCACGTAAGCGCTTGCCAGGGGAGCATGGATGAAACCCTGACTTAGGGGATGGGGAGGGACCCCATTAGCTCTTGAATAAAGTCTCAGCCTTTGGGCCCATCTGCAATTGATTCCAGAGCTGCGGGCTGCCCCCAAAATGTAGCACAACTCCAAAGTCTAAACTTTTCCAGCAAAGAAGACAATAGAACTGGAAGGGACCTTGGAGGTCTTCTAGTCCATCCCCCTGCTCAAGCAGGAGACCCTATACCCGTGATGGCAACCCTATGGCACGCGGAGCCATATCGGTGGGCACATGAGCTCAGCTCCCGCCAGCTGATTTTCGGGCCTTCTAGGCCCACTAAGAAAAAGGCTGTTTCTGGTCTCTGGAGGGCCTCTAAAAGAGTTGGGAAGGCCTATTTTTTTGCTGTCCCCAGGCTCCAGAGCCTTTCTAGGAGGCTGGGAAGGGTGAAAATGGCCTCCTCCCCCCCAGAAGGCCCTCCGGAGGCCAGAAATGGCCCATTTGCCGACTTCCAGTCCCTCCTAGAAAGGCGCTGGAGCCTGGGGAAAGCGAAAAATGGGCCTTCCAGTGGGACTGGAAGTTGGCAAATGGGCCATTTCCGGCCTCTGGAGGGCCTCCGAGGGGATGGGGAAGGCCGTTTTTGTCCTCCCCAGCCTTTGTCCTAGAAAGGCTCTGGAGCCTGGGGAGAGCAAAAAATGGGTCTACCGGACCCACCAGGCCATTGCATGCCAAAAGCGGGGGGAGCATGGGGTCGCACACACATGTGCGATGGGGCGGGGTGCATAGAATTATGGGTGTGGGCACACACACACGCGACCCTCCGCACTCCCCCCGCTTTTGGCACACGATGGCAAAAAGGTTAGCCATCACTGCCCTACACCATTCCAGACAAATGGCTATTCTTCTTAAAAACCTTTAGTGTTGGAGCACCCAGAACTTCTGGTGGCAAGCTGTTCCACTGGTTAATTGTTCTCACAGTTAGGAAGTTTCTCCTTAATTCCAGGTTGCTTCTCTCGATAGGTTTCCACCCATTGCTTCTTGTCCTGCCCTCAGGTGCTTCGGAGAATAGCTTGACTCCCTCTTCTTTGGGGCAGCCCCCCAAATACTGGAAGACTGCTATGCTGTCTCCCCTAGTCCTTCTCTTCATTAAACTAGATATACTCAATTCCTGCAACCGTTCTTCATATGTTTTAGCCTCCAGCCCCTTAATCATCTTAGTTGGTCTTCTCTGCACTTTTTTCCCCCCAAATCCTCAACATAATATTTAGGGAGGCACACAAAGACACAGAGACAGTCTGGGAGGCCCTGAAACAACCATGAAAGGAAAAAAACAAGACAACTGAAATCAGACTGGAAAGCTTTAGAGCAGTGTTTCTCAACCTTGGAAGCTTGAAGATGGGTGGACTTCAACTCCCAGAATTCTGGAATTCTCCCAGATTCTGGGAGTTGAAGTCCACCCATCTTCAAGCTACCAAAGTTGAGAAACACTGCTTTAGAGGGTGAAGCATTTGATCCGCTGCCCCACGTTATCCAAATTATTTTCCATTAGTAAAATAAAAAGTTTTTAAAAACCCAACACTGTCCAACTGATGTAGAAAAAGGTATGGCAAGGAAAAAGCAAATGTCAAATGGGGAAGGATTGGAATGAGAACCAACTGGTATCAATCAGCCTTGAGTGGTTGCAAGGTTTCAAGCATACCGTGGCTTGTGAAGCAGGTGTGTTCTGAAGGGAGTGCGTGCGCAGGGAAGGTGCAACAATACCAAGCAGAGCCAAGCTTTTCCATTGTATCCACAGAAGAGAATATTTGTAGCTCAGGGTTGAACTGTGGGGGTCCTTGGTGCTCTCCGAGCTTGGTTGCTTTTTTTGCAGACGTTTCATGACCCAGCTATGTAACATCATCAGTGCTGGAAGGGAGGAGGAGGAGGAGGAGGAGGAGGAGGAGGAGGAGGGATCCCTGGTGCTCTCTGATCTGAGCTTGGTTGTTCTCTTGCAGACATTTCATGACCCAACTAGATAACATCATCAGTGCTGGAGGGAGCGGGGTTTGGGAGGAAAAGGAGGAGGAGGAAGAAGAGGAAGAGGAAGAGGAAAAGAAGGAGGAGGAAAAGGAGTAGAAGGGAGCGGGGTTTGGGAGGAGGAGGAGGAACAGGAAGAGGAACAGGAAGAGAAAAAGGAAAAGGAAAAGGAGGAGGAGGAGGAGGAGGAGGAGGAGGAGGAGGAGGAGGAGGAGGAGGAGGAGGAGGAGGAGGAGGAGGAGGGATCCCTGGTGCTCTCTGAATTTGGTTGTTTCCTTGCAGGCATTTCATGACCCAACTAGATAACATCATCAGTGCAGGAAAGGAGTGGGGTTTGGGAGGAGGAGGAGGAGAAGGAGAAGAGGAAGAGGAAGAGGAAGAGGAAAAGGAGGAGAAGAAGAAGAGGAAGAGGAAGAGGAAAAGGAGGAGGAGGGATCTCTGGTGGTCTCTGAGCTTGGTCGTTTTCTTGCATGACCCAACTAGATAACACCATCAGTGCCAGAAGGGAGCAGGGTTTAGGAGGAGGAGGAGGAGGAGGAGGAGGAGGAGGAGGAGGAGGAGGAAGGCTGTGGGGGTCCTTGGTGCTCTCTGAACCTGACTGTTTTCTTGCTGACATTTCATTACCTAAGTAGGTAACCGTCATCAGTGCTAGAACGGAGTGATCCTTATTCCCTTCTAACACTGATGTGGTTGCCTAGTTGGATCATGAAACATCTTCAATGGTTTCAAACGACATAAATGGATCAGCCAGGTGGCGAGTGGCCAACCCCCCTAGGTTTCAGGGGCAGGAGCATTTACTGTTAATGAAACGGCTGAAGAGTCGGGAGAGAACGATGGCTGGCATTTCTCTTTACCGAGTCCGGTTTTATTATCCGCTCCAACTTTCCTTCTCTGTCCTTTCCAGGAAAAATTCAAAACCGAGGCAGGAGGAGGGAACAAGGGCTTAAGACCCAACAAAAGGCAGCATTGTTAGATCAAATGCTGCATTTTCATAATGACCTTGTTTGCTTTTCAGGCAGTTCCACGGACGCCATGGGGAGGGGGGGCATTTCCCGGGAAACGTGCTTATCGTCAGAGCCCCTAAGGGGCAAATAATCTGCCTAGGAAGCTTTTAGTAGAAAGAACGAAAGGGTAACGAACGTTCATCCAGGCTTACCTCGTTCTCCAGCGTGTTTTGTTTCCGTGGACTCTGGGACGCCTTGAGCTTTGGAAAGAAGAAAAAAAGAAAAAAATCGCTGAACCGGAGGGTAAACTAAGGACAGGGTTAGAGGGTGAGGATGATGGTCATGTAATACTAAGGGTGGAGATTTGAGAGGGTTTCTTTCCAGCAAAACAGAGTTTTTACCATTGTTTAGAATTTGAATGAGGGGAGGGGTCGTTCCCACTCGTCCACCCATCCCCATTATCAGCTTCCATTACCAAGAAAAAAAATGGTTGAATGATGGGAACTTCCCAAAGTTGCAACTGGATTTTCTTTGTTTTTCCTTGAAGACGTTTCGCTTCTCATCCAAGGAGCTTCTCCAGTTCTCGCGGAAGGGTGGAGAGGACTTACATTCCTTGTGCTAGCACTCTTTCTAAGAGTCGCCGAGGCCACTTGAGGGTTTATCTGGGCCCTTAGGGTCACCTGAGTAGTGCAGGTGGGTAGGGAGCTTTCTTGGAACTGCTGAAGAGAATAATTGCTCAACTTCCAATGGCCTCAATGACTCTCAGGAAGAGTGCCAACGGCCAAAAGGACTGCAAGGAACATAAATCCTTCCGTTTTCCACCATTCAGTCAGAACTGAAGAAGCGAAATGTCTTCAAGGAAGGACAAAGCCCAACTGCCTTTTGAAAAAGAACCTTTGTGACAACCATGACCTGGAACGAAAATCTCCATAGATATGGTGGCAGTGGTGAGTTCCTCCCGGTTCGGCCGAACCGGTAGCGGTGACGATATGACGTCACCGAACCGGTTCTCCCCCCCCGCCCTCCCCCCGCTATTCTTACCGTTTATTTTGGCCCCACCCCCAATCTATTGCTGCCTCCTGAGTCCCAGCTGATGACTAGAGGGAAAAAAACTGTTTAAACTCTTGCCGCGGGACTTCAAAGGGCCGCCTACAGCTGATCAGTGTTAAAAGCAAACAAATGAGTCAGGTCGTAAGTGCGAGGACTGGTCGTAAGTGCGAGGACCTTCCAGAAATGACTGACCAGCTAGCCACGCCCACCTAGTCACATGACCTCCAAGCCACACCCACAAAATAAGCCACCCCCACAGCACCAGTAGTAAAAAATTTAGAACCCACCCCTGTATGGTGGGACAATCCTTTGTCCACAGACGTTCCTCAGCATTTCTAGGTAAGACGAAAAAAAGTTCCCCATCTGAAAACTGGACAAGCTTTTGACTGACCAGTATTGACCATAACGGACCATAATATTCTAACCAGGGGTCTCCAAACTTGGCAGCTTTAAGACTTGTGGACGTCGATCCTTAACCTCTAAGGATCAACGTATAACTCGAGCTCAAGCTAAGTTACTTAAACAAAAGCAACAACAACAACAGGAAAGACAAGACAGGAGGCAGATAAGAGTACTGCACAAGGAGATTGGAGTTATGGGAGGAGCGAGATCGAAGATTTCGGATGATCTTCAATTATTTTGCTCTTTGCTCCAGAAAGAGGCTGATGACCTTTAGGTGTTTATCCTGGAATGTTATGGGTTGAATTCAGCACAGAAAAGGAAGAAATTATTTACATATTTGAAACAATTTAATAATGATATAATTTGTTTACAAGAAACGCATATCACAACTCAAGATCAAAAATATTTGATAAACTCCAAACTAGGAACACATTTTATATCTTCAACTTTGCAAAAAAAGAATGGAGTGGTAATTTATGTAAATAAAAAGTTAACAGCTAAAGTTATAGAAACAGATGAAGATGGTAGGTTTGTAGCAATTGAATTGTCTATCGCAAATGGCCAAATTCTTCTGATTGGGATTTATGCTCCCATCAACAACAGGACTATTTCTATAAGATGTTACATACTAAAATATTGCAATGGGATTACAGATCTATTTTAATTATGGGAGACTGGAATGGAGTAATCGATTCTAAATTAGATAAAAAGAGTTTGGCAAAGTCTAGAATCAGATTACCACAGACCTTTTTTGACATGAAAGAAGATATGGAACTAAAAGATGTTTGGAGAATACATAATTCAAAAGAATTGGACTATACTTTTTATTCTGACAGACACAGAATCCTTCTCTAGGATTGACTTTATTTTGTTGACAGATGATTTACTTGTTAAGACAAAAAGAACAAAGATTTTTCCAAGAACTTTGACTGACCATAGCCCAGTATGGATAGAAATTGAGATGGACAAGGTTGAGAGACGTTCTTGGAGATTAAATGAGAATTTGTTTAGATATGAAAAATAATATATAGAACTTAAAAAGCATTTGAAAGAATTTTTTGAAATAAATTTGAATAAAGGTACCCCAATTGAAATTGTGTGGGATGCAAGTAAAGCTTATATGAGAGGGGTACTTATCTACATGAACTCTAAACATAGACTGTTCCGACAAAAGAAAAGATCTGAATTGGAAATAGAAATAAAGAAAAAAGAACAGTTACTTATTAAAATCCAACAGATGAAGAATACGTAGTGCTATAAAACTTTTGAAAGACCAATTTCAAATGCTTATGGCGGAACAAGTTGCAACAAGTTTACAATACGCGAAGCATAATACATTTTGCAACGCTAACAAACCGGGCAGATGGTTGGCTTACACATTGAGGAAAAAACAAAGTATACGGACTATTGATAGTATTGACATTGGAGGGAAAGAAATCTTTCAACAAAAACTAATTAAAGAAGCTTTGTGGATTATTATACTAAACTATATGCCAAAGAAGAGTGCAGAATGGACTTATAGAAAAATATTTAAACGATAAAAGAGTTACAAAAATTACTGATAACAAAAGGAAAGAATGAATTATCCCATAACAGAGGAGGAGATAATAGTAGCAATTAAACAGTTAAAAACAGCCAAAGCTCCTGGCACGGATGGCTTGACTGCAGTGTATTACAAAACTTTGCAAGCTGAAATGGTGGAACAACTTAGAGATTTATTTTGCAATATTCAGCAAGGGGGTAAAATACCCCCATCATGGACAAACAGCTTACATATCTTTGATACCAAAAGAACAAATCGTCCTAAAAACCAGAGAAACTATAGACCAATATCTCTTTTGAATACAGATTAAAAAATTTTTGCGAAAGTACTAGCCAACAGGTTGATGCCAGTAATCCAGAAGGTGATTCATGATGATCAAGCGGGATTTATCGAGGGCAGATATATGAGGACAATGTAAGGCAAGTAATAGATTTATTGGAATATCTTGAGAAGAATAAACAGATCCCTGCAGTGCTGGTCTTTTTGGATGCAGAGAAGGCCTTTGACAGAGTGGATTGGAATTTTCTATTAAAGACTTTGAAAAAGATGGACTTTGGGATCAATTTATAACAGGCGATTTCGGCAATTTATCAAGAGCAAAAGGCACAGATCATTATTAATGGAAGCCTGACAACAGAGTTTTAAATTGAAAAAGAACAAGACAGGGATGTCCGCTGTCCCCACTTTTATTTATTTTAACATTAGAAGTCTTGCTAAATACAATACAGGACTCTAATATCTTGAGAGGTATAAAGATTAGGCAAGAGGATTACAGAATAAAGGCATTTGCAGATGATCTGGTTGTTACCCTATCACAACCAATGGAATCAATAATCTTGATGAAGGACATTATACAAGACTATGGTAAAGTTTCAGGTTTTAGATTGAATCCAAAAAAGACAAAAATGATAGCTAAAAATATGACACAAAGATCGTAAACATGAGCTGAAAGGAGGGCAGGTTTGAGATTGTACCAAGGTAAAATATCTAGGAGTTCAGGTTGCAGAATCAAATATGAAATTGTTTCAAAATAACTATGAGGTGTTGTGGCGAGAGGTGCAGAAAGATATGGAGACTTGGAAAAAACTGCAGCTGTCTCTACTTGGAAGAATAGCAGCAGTTAAGATGAATATTTTGCCAAGATTTCTTTTTTTGTTTCAAATGATTCCGGTGCTTAAAAGTGATAAACAATTGAAAGTTTGGCAATCTGGAGTGAATAAGTTTGTCTGGAACGAGAAGAAGCCGAGAGTGAAATTGAAAATTATGCAAGATGTTCCAGAAAGAGGAGGTCTTAAACTTCCAAACCTACATTATATTATGATGCAGCAGCTTTAACCTTAACAAGTGATTGGTTTGGAAGGAAAAAGACTGGAATATTGAACGCAGAAAGTTTGATCTTGAATTTGGATGGCATGCTTACTTATTCTACGACGACAAAGTAGACAAAGTATTTAAAAGTCATATACTTAGAGACTCTTTGATGAGAGTTTGAAGAAGCACCGACTCAAATGGGATTATAAAAATACCGCTATGGCTGGATCTTGGTCATACTTTGTGGATACAAATATAATGTCACTCGGGGGTTTTTTATATAAAGAGGTTCTTTTTACAGATGCGGGCAGATGGCAGTTGAAGACATTGCAGACACTGTTGGACGAAGGGATTAATTTAACTTGGTTACAGTATAATCAATTACAATTGAGATGGAAAGAGGACCAAAAACTGGTATTATGTTGCATGAGGAAGAATTGGTTAGACATATAAGGGAGAAAGGTCCAATGCATATCAAAAGGCTTTACAATGTTTTGCTAGAAAGAGATTCAGAAACTGAATTAGTTAAAGACTGTATGATTAAGTGGGCACAGAATTTTGAAGAACCAGTGATGCTGGAAACATGGGAAAAATTTGGGTTCAGAATGTTAAAATTTACACAGTCGCAGAATCTGAGGGAAAATTTCTACAAAATGTTTTATAGATGGCATTTAGATCCCAAAAAGTTGTCATGTATGTACCCTAATGTTTCAGCCAAAATGTTGGAGATGTGAATGTTTGGATGCACGTATTATCATGTTTGGTGGACCTGTAGGAAAGTTAAGCTTTTTGGATAAAAATTTGGTGGGTCCATGCAGAATGTTTTGAAGAAAAAAATTCAATTTTTCTCCACAACTGTTTTTATTGGGTATAGTTAAGGGTTTTACATTGGGTGAAACAAAATTGATATTGTATATGATAACAGCAGCAAGATTGTTGATAGGTAAATATTGGAAGAATGAAGTTTTGCCCACTATTGAGGAATGGACTTTGAAGATGGCCAGTTTTGCAGAGATGGCGAAGATTTCAGCATATTTAAAAGACTGTTCACAAGAGACTTATGGTGGGAATGGAAAAGGTGGATAGAATATGTTCAGAACAAATATCAAACTAGAAAGTATCAAATAGCTTTTATTTGAAAATAATGTAATGTAGTGGAAATATTTTAATGTAATGAGTAAAGAGAAAAATTACAAGGGGAGGGAGGGGTTCAAGTTTATATATAAGTGTTATATTAAGGGTTTTTTATGAGTATGAATATATTATAGGGAAGTCTGGGGGGAGGGTTAGGGAGGGTTAGGGATTGGGAAGTTAGGGAGGTTGATAAGTTGGGGGGGAGGCGGGGGGGGGTGCGGAAAAGGGATGAAGGGGTGAATAAAATGTAATTAAGTGTAACGATATAACTTTTGCAATAAATAAAAAATATAACATTTATTGATGGACTTCACTGAGCCAGACAGAATTCCAGAAAATTGGTTGCATGAAATAAATGCTTCATGAGTAGTTGTAAAGTGCAAGACTTGTGGACGTCAACTCCCAGAATTCCTCAGAGTTGGAAATTCCGAGAGTTGAAGTCCACGAGTTGTCAAGTTTGGAGATCCTTGTTCTAACTCAAGGTAAGATGGTTTCCTAGGTCTCAACTGGAACCCAGATTCTTCAGTTCCACCATCTTCTGTTGTCTGCTTCAAGAGCTTCTAAAGCCACTTCTGGGAGGGAATCAGTTCGTTCTCACAGGGAGGGACCTCAGGGTACCGTCAGTCAAATGATGCCGACTGGCGACTCCCAGGGGGAGGGCCTTCTCTGTGGGGGCTCCAACCCTTTGGAATGAACTGCCCCCGGAAATACGGAATATCCCTGATCTCCCTGCTTTCCGCCGTGCCCTCAAAATCCTGATGTTCCAACAAGCGGGGCTAAACATATGAACATGTGAATGTTTTTAAAATGTTATCTAATTTTAGGTTCTATTTAATTGGGCCAAACTATGTTATAATAATAATTTTAATTAGCACTTTTATGATATTTGTGTATCTATATTTTTCTTGACTGTACAACGCCTTGAGTCCTACAGGAGAAAGGCGGTATAGAAATTAAATAAATAAATAAATAAATCAATCAATCAATCAATCAATCAATCAATCAATCAATCAATCAATCAATCAGATGGTGTGGGATACAGAATATCCCAAGGGACAGGATGGCAAATGGTGAATTCATTTACGGCAGAATGCTAGACTTGAAATGAAGGGGAAGCACCTGTTAGGACAATTATCTTAAGCACTCACGCCCAACTTTGTTTCCAAAAAACACATTTCTAGTTGGCGAGTAGGTGAGCCTGGTGTTGAAAAGTTGAGGAATTGCGACATAGTTTATACTGAGGGGCCCTTGGTGCTCTCTGAGCTTGGTGGTTTTCTGGTTTCACTACCAGCCTAGATAACATCATCAGTGCTAGGAGGGAAACTATCTACGGGCCGAGAGTCTTTCTTTTCCAACTGACCAAGTTGGGACGGCGGACAGGTGGCTTCAAGGAGGTCCTTACTTTGACAAAATCAAGAACGGCCTCCTTCTGGATCTGCTTCGTCTTCCTCTTCTCCTCCTCACAGTGCAGGGCCGCCAGCTGCGCTTCCCTCCGCGTCCACTCCATGAAGGGCTCTCGCCTTTTGGGTGGGTCAGCCTCTGCGGGAAGGTTCTGGGGGAAGATACAGAGGGACAATGAACTGAAAGAGACACCGCAAGCGGCGTCCTTCGGAAGTTGGCCACGCGTTCAATGTGAAAGGAATCAGTCAAACACCACTTACCTGATTGTGAGCATTGGACAATGACCCATGGGTAGCAGAGTCTCGGCAACCCCTGGAGGAAGAGAGGAATTTATGGGAGGCAGGAGAAATGTAGGGTGTTGTAATTCTACGTTGCGCCAGATGTTCCACAGGCTGGAGCATTTATACTATACTCGCAGGGATTTCAGCTTGCGCGCTCCACTGGGCGTAGTGGTGTGAAAGTGCTGGTCTAGAAACTAGGAGATGGAGAGTTCTAGTCCCGCCTTATGCATGGAAGCCGGCAGAATGACTCTCGGCCAACCAGCAGGGGATACTGAGCTCTAATCCTGCCTTAGGCATGAAAGCCAGTTGGGGGATTTTGGGCCAATCACCAGGAAATGGGGAGTTCTAGTCCCGCCTTAGGCATGAAAGGTGACTGGGTGGGCCAATCAGCAGGGGATGATGAGTTCTAGTCCCGCCTTAGCCATAAAAACCAGCTAGGTAACTTTGGGACAATCTCTCTCTCTCTCTCAGCGCAACCCACCTCACAGTTGTTGGAGAAATAGGAAGAGGAAGGAATATTCCGTTTGCCGCCTTGTTTATAAAATAATAAAAGGCAGGATAAAGAAAATCCAACGAATGAATGAAAAATAATTCACCGCATGCTACACACAGCACCGTTCAGAAATTTTTATGAATACGGTTAGCATCCAAAAATTGCTTTATTTAGGATGCCTGTCATTTACCCAATATTTATTTTATTTATTTATATGTTTGTCATGTTTGTGTAGCGTATATTGGAGGTGGCGACCCTTTGAGAGCGGAATGCAACGAAATTTCATTTCCACGTATGCCGATTGGTGTACATTCAAAGTGACAACGAAGTTATTCTAAAATAGCTAAGCTCTGGGAAGGTGATAAAGTTACTGAAAGTATTTGTTTTTTTTAAAAAAAGGAAACTTTATCTAACATGGTGATTTGTACTTTATTTAGCAAAGGATATTTTCCCTCTTCAGATCCTTACCTTTCTGACCGATCTACAAGGCTCCTTAATCCTTGCGGTCGTTCCCTATCTTGCATTAAACTCAGACTTTCAGGTCGTTTTAATTCCTCTGCATCTCTGCAAACACATAAATACAGCGAAGAGGAGACGATGGGAACATAGGAGTAGATAAAATAAGTCCATAAGAAAAGTGACAC